ATTCCAGCAGCTGCCAGGCTGCGCGTCAGGAACAGGGAGCCTCATCCCAGCAGCACCGCTGCAGATGAGAAGGCACTTTCTCTCCTCAGCGGGTTTCAAGCCCTCTCAGAAAGGCCTGAAGTTGTTCCTAAGCACGAGGAAAAGCAAAGTGAAGGGATGGGAGGGCCCCACATCCACAGAACATGTTGAGCACAACCATAGGAAGCAGTTTGATGCACAGATCAACTTTTTGCTTCTGCTGATTTGCCGTTATCATCACCAGAAGCAGAAGCAGCATGTGCCCCACTTTGTCAGAGCAACTGAGGGGCTGCCAGCACCACGAGCTGGAGGAGACCCACATCTACACAGGCCCCAGAACTGGGAGAGGAACTGCACTCATGGGGGGATGTGAATTGTTCTGCAAGTTTCAGCTGCCTCCTCTCAGAGACAGGCATGGTGCAGCTGCACCACCACAGGCACAGTGGCCATGAGCAGGACAATGGCTCAGAGGCCAAACACAATCTCCATGTCACCCCAACTCTGGTGCAAGTTATTCCCCCACGGAGTAACCAGGTTACTCTGGCAGAAACAGGACTCAAAAGAGACCTGACTCTGGCTCTCTCCTACAGCTGCATTTGTGCTTCCACTAAGCCTCAAGAAGGGAGCACAGGGATGGGAACGTTCTGGGATGCACCTTGCAAGAACCCAACTTTGCTCCTGTGCTCCAGGGCAACTTCTCTCCCAGGAAGCAGCAGAGATTCCCCAACCTTTCCCATACTGGCCGTTTGCTCCAGCTCAGCTGTTCCCACTGCCAGGCAGTGGCAGAGCATGTGTGACACATGACAGCGCCGGGGCCGACGGTGCACCCCAAACCTCAGCCCTGCACACCTCACACAGCCTGAGCTCATGCAGGGCATGTGTGACTGACACCAGCCCCCATGCTGTCGGACCCCTGGCTCAGCCTCACAGCCCCACCACAGCCCCCCCTCTGCTCAAACAAACCACAGCAAGTGCTGGTTCTCCCCATGCGGGAGCCTCGGCGTAAGTCAATCCTCGGGCGAGGAGGCGGCTGCCGGCAGCGCCGAGCCAAGGCACACCCCTCCGTTGCAACACAGCCCTAAAGATAGTCACTGTCCCCCGCTGTCCCCTGCCATCCCACCAGCCGCTCGGACCCGCCACCGGCACAGCCAACGGCACCAACTAACGAGCAGGTTCACCGGAGCAGGTTCACCAGCCTCTCGTCCCACCACGACTGCAGGAGGGCGAAATTCAGGAGAGGAAGAGATTGCAGGAAGCGCCGGGCACGCCGCACACGCCTGCGGTTGCAACATCAGCGCAAAGTGTCCCCGTCGAGGAGGGGACGTGAAGACATCGACTCCCCCAAGGGGGTGGGGAAATCAATGCGAGGCTTCAGCGCGGCCCCGACCGGCGCCGGGGCTGGGATCGACGGCAGGAGCAGCTCCCGCCGCCCCGCAGCTCGGCCACTGCCGCCGGCCCTGGGAACCGTCCGGCGGGCACAGACGGTGTCTCGGGAAAGGATCGCGGCCACCCCGAAGCCACAGGCTGAGCTGCTGCATCTCTGGCACAGCCCCAGCAACACCGAATGCTCCAAGAAACAGAGCTGGACCCAAAGGGCAAAGCGGGAGCTGCCACCTCCCAGGAAGGGACACCAGTGCTGCTGCCGTGACTGTGGGGTGCAGGGGGGACCCCACTCTCCGAGGCTGCACCTGCCTTTGCCCTCCACTGCACCAGAGGAAACAACAGCATGGGGGGAAACATCCCGGGGCTGGCCACTCCCCGTGAGGCAGGGCCCCGTCCATCTCCTGAGCATGAATCCACTGTGGGTGGCCCTCCACCCCACATCCTCCCCTGCAGCCCCATTCAGTCTCTAGGACAGCCCTAGTGCACCCCATTTCCCCCACACCCAGCCTGACCCTACTGGGGATCTCCCCACTCCAGAGCACCTCACCTCCCTTCTGCCCCATAGGCTTCCTGAGAGCGCTGCAGGTGCTTGCCTCGTCTCCTCCATCCCCCGAACATCACCCATTTCTCCACAACCCCCTGCTTCACACCTCAGTCACCGTGGATTCCCCACACCTAGACTGACATCCCCAGCCCCCTCCAAACCCTTGAGCACCCTAAACCACCTCACATCCAGTTTGACCTCTACGGGTGGCCCTGGTTTCCGCAGCCCCAGATCACCCCACATCCAGCCTGATCCCACCGGAGACCCCCTGCTTCATGGCACCCCATGTCCCCTGGCAACCCCTCCACTCCATAAACAGCCTGAGCCCCCATGTGCCCCCACAGCACCACAACTGTTCCTAAAACCCCGCAGCCTACGACCAGACTGACCCACCATGGGTCCCTATAGGGAGCCCCAAATCCTCCAGAACTTGCCTGATCCCTATACCCCCCAAAGCACCCCAGGACTCCCACAGCATCCCCCATAACTTGCCTGACCCCTACAGCCCTCACCCTCCCCTCCAAACCTCTCTCGCCCCATAACAGGCCTGACACCCGAGAAACTTCACCTGCCCCCGCTCACCGGGGCCGCCACTCCGCTCCGCGCTGCCTCCACCTGCACCACCGGCCCCGCCCCCGCCCCTTGACGTCACCACACGAGCCCCGCCCCCTTGGCCGCGCCCACTGGCTGCCGCCCCCGCCCGTCAGAGCGCCGAGGGGGCGAGGCCAGAGCGCGCCGCTGCAGTGGGCGGGGCCTGCAGGTGACGAGCGGGGGGTGGGGCCAAGAGATTCCTCCTGCGCCCCGTGACGTCATAGGTCCAATAAGGAGAAGGTCCCTCCCCCCGGGTTCCCCCTGCGTCATGGCAGAGCCCCAAAGCCCCCCAAACCGGCAGAATCAGGGCTTTTGGAGATATTTTTGCTCATTTTCACTATTTTCCGAAGTTTTCTTAGGGAAAACCCTGTCCTTGCTGGAGGCTGGAGGAGCCGGGGGTGTCCCCATCCTGAGCCCACCGCAGGAGGCTGCAGCGTGGCCGGAGCCCGTGAGGGCGTCAGGGTCACTGCAGCGCCCCCAACCCCGACCCCATCCCTGGGGCCACGCCCGGGTTATCGGTGCCGCGCAGGCGGCGGCTGCGGAGATAAGGTGGAACAGGGCCCCCGCGAGGACGGGGACGGAGGCGGCGGCTGGATGAACTCGGTCCCAGCGCCGAGGGCCTCGTTGCTGACTCCGTTGGCTTGGCGGTGGCGGCCTTGCGATGGCGCTGGTGGCCGGGACTGGGCTGCAGTACCCAGCGGGCGCTCCTGGCGGGGGCTACCAGGGGTTACGCTCAGCACCCCAGGGGCACGCCACTGTTCCCTGCTCTGGGGACGGGGTGTCCCCATGGGGAGGTTCCTAGTGCCATCTAATGGTCACCGCCCCGGGGACACTGGCGAGGACCGTGACCGTGTGTCCCTCGCTGCCTCTGCCAGGGCCTTTGCAGCCCTCAGAGGTGCACGGGCCGGAGCCCGCCCCGGGCTCAGAACCTCAACACCCCGCAGCTCAAGCTTGACAGGGGTTTGTTCCCCCTCCCTGGGAGCCCTAAGCCTTCCCCGGTGGGGCTGAAGGTTTGGGAGCAGGAAGAGCCTCTTGGCCCTGCGGAGTGGGAGAGGGGGGAGTCCCTGCTAATGTGATGAGAGGGGGATGAATCCATAAGCTGTTAAGCCACTGCAAAGCCCCTCGCGTTCTGGCCCTGTTATCACTGACTTCTGTTCACATCTGCTCTCAGAGTTATTTTTAATCTGGTATTAAGGACTTGTGGGTCCTTCAGCAGGCAGAGGGGGGCTCTGCCTGTCCCCCCTCCAAGCCGTGGAGGGAGGAGCTGTGTTTTGTGGGCTGCAGAGGTGTCTATGAAACACTTAACATCAATCCTGCTGCTATTTGGGAACAGGAAAAAAAACCCTGTCACCCCTTCTCTTCAGTACCCAGCCATCAACTCTGCAGAAGATCCCAGCACTGGGGAAAGGTCAGCAGAGGAACCAGGCAGGAGCCTCACACAAAGGGATGAGTTCAGAGATATAAAAATAGAGATATTTATTAGCATTGAGTAAAGTGCAGCCTCAGGATGGTTTGAGACTCAGCAACTGTATGAATGGCAGGAGAGAAGCTCAGAGAGGAGTAACAGCCTGAGCAGGGCTGTGCCAACAGGATCCTGGGACTGTACAAAGGCTTTAGAAACAATATCAGATAAATTATTTACAGTTCAAATTGATTACAGGAGGGTGAAGATTCATGAGCTGCTGCAGGCTGAGAGAAAGAACAGAGGCTGGGATGGAACATGGGCCCTGAGCTGGTGTGTCAGCAGTCTGGAAATTCAGGGCAGCAGTTGGGGACAGCTAGGAATGTCCCTTAGCACCAGGCTCTAATTGGGGGTAGGAAGATATGGTGAGGTGAAGTCTTGCTCCTGCATGGCTGGAACAGAAATTCTTCATGTTTTCCAATGGTGATAGGCAAGGATGACTTAAGAACCAGCATCAAGTGCTGTACCTGGATATTTCTGCTTAAAATCAGAAGATTTTTCCACACCTGACAAGACCTTAGCAGTCCCACAAAGCTGCCAACGTGCTGCTGGACACACCACTGGCACTGGCTGCTGGAGGCCTTTCCTGGAGCTAAGGGCTGGCAATGGGGTCCTCTCGGGGCAGAGAGACTCTGCCAAGTCTGTGGCCAGGAGGAAATCCCACTGCTGGTGATACCGGTGCCAACAGCTCCCCATGGCACTGCCCTAGGAACTCCAGATGGGATCTGCTCCATTTACAAATAGGAGGATTTGTCTTGCCAGTACCTTAAAATGGCCAGGGAGACTGGAGCTGAAAAGTGTTCCTCCTACTTACAAACATCCAGAGCAAAGACTCCAGAGCTGAAATAGTTGCAGCCTCACGGTGCATGTGTAAGCTTGTGTGGTCCAGTCCCTCTCCCACCCCAGAGCCATTTCTGACAAGATTAGGAAGAAATTCCTCCCTGTGAGGCTGGTGAGGCCCTGCCACACAGGTTGCCCAGAGAAGCTGTGGCTGCCTCATCCCCATCCCCATCCCTGGAAGTGTCCAAGGCCAGGTTGTACAGGGCTTGGGGCAGCCTGGGTTAGTGGAAGGTGCCCCTATCCATGACAGGGGGTTGAAACAAGATGAGCTTTAAAGTGCCTTTCAACCCACACCACTCCATGGTTCTATGAAATGTTCATCAAGGCACTAAAAGCTGTTCGGAGCAGCACCTTCAGGGGACACACCTTGGTCTGGCAGCCTGGTCTACCCCCAGTTAATGCTGGAAGAATTCTTGGGGTCTGAATCAGGAATTGTCCTCTGGGCTGGAGACAGGCGGGAGCCACATGATCTTGAACCACTCTCTCTTCTGGCCAGCAGGAATACAGATCAAGTTTGCAGCTCAAGCCTGTTTCTGGTTCCTTCACTGACCTTTGCACACTGTGTATGGGGGTCAGCGGGCTGCAGCAGCTGCGGCCCCTCCCTTGGCTCATTGGGAAAACCACAGGGACCGTTGGTGTGAATGGTGCTGCTGTGGAAGCAGCACTGTGCTGCTCACAGAAGGGGAAGAGGCTGCACTTGCCAGGACACAGCCATGAAAGCACTGCAGAGCCTTCCTGCACACCTCAGATCTGGCAAGACAGGGCTATTGCTGCTCAATCTTGACGTGGTCTCCGATCATCCAACGGTGATATGTGGCCAGGAAGATGTCGTTGTCTCGGGGACAGTCGTAGTGGCAGGAGCACATCTTGATGAACATCATTTTCCTCTGGAAGAAGTCCCCCTCGGGGCAGCGGAACTCCACGTCCACGGTGCTGGTCAGGAACGGGGTGCAGCAGCGCCCGTCCGAGCAGCTGCCGCAGAACCGCGGCCGGTAGGAGCGCGTGCTGGTGCATCCTGAAAACTCAAAGTGGAGGCTCTGGCGCTGCTTTGGGGTCCGCACACACTTCTTCCCCTTCTAGGGAGAGAGCAGATGAATTACCATGGACATGACAGGAAAGATGCATTGAGGCCTGTGCTCAGGCCCCATCACTGGGCAATGGGACACAGAGGAAGTGGAAGCACAGAGTCCGGATCCTGTGAGCCAGGATCATTCCCAAGGCTGTCCCCAGCATTTGGGGTGCTGTGTCCCCTATCCTCCAGCACCATACCTCACCATACCTTGGTTTTCTCCATGGAGAAGTCGCAGGGCCGGACCATGCAGAGCCGAGTCTCCTTCTCCAGGCGGCACTGGGGGTTGTTGTTGGTTACACGGGTGGAGATGCCCATTCCGCAGCTCCGGGAGCACGTGCTCCATTCTGTGGTCTGCATCAGGCAGTTCTCCTGCAGGTTGTTCAGCTCTGGCCTGTGAGCTGGATCCTTCCTGAAAACTGAGCCATGAGGAAGAGACACAAGGCAAGGCTCAGGGCTTTGCACAAAGAATGGCAGCTCCATGGCTGCTCCCAACTCAGTTTAACACTTCAGGAACATCAGCAAAGGTCTGGCCCATCCCATGAGATGCTTGGCCTCTCAGCAGGAAGGGGATGCAGGTGGGCAGGGGCCATTTCCTACATAGCCCGGCTCCAGACAGGTCTGCAGGGATACTTCAGGACACAGCAGCTTTCCCATAGCACCACTGAGGTTTCACTTTGTATTGGGTCGGCTGAGCTGGAGTTGATGTTCCCAGAGCAGCCATTCCAGTGCTGTGCTCTGCAGTGGGAGCTGGAAAGGTGTTGGTAACACACCAGTGTGTTTGGCTACTGCTGGGCAGGGTTGGCACAGCATCAGTGATGTCTCTCCAACTTTCGCACCCTGATCAAGGGGCTGGGAGTGGGTAAGATCCTGGGAGTGGACACAGCTGACCCAAATTCACCACAGGGATATTCTAGACTGTATCAGGTCAGATATAAAAGCTAAGAAAAGGAGGAGAAAAAGGGGGAGGGGGAAATTGCTATTCACAATGTTTGCCTTCTGGTGCAACTGCTCCATGTGCTGAAGTCCTGCTTCCTAGGAAGTGGCTGGATGCCACTTGATGATGGGAAGTAAAGAATAAATCTATTCTTTTTCTCTTTGCTTGTGCACATGCAAACTTTCACTTTTCCTTTCATAAACTGCCTTATCTCAACCTACAAGTCACTTTCCATTTATTTTTCTCCCCTGTTGTATTGCACTAAATAGTTATTTAGTTGTTTGCACTGGGTGTTTGGTGATTTGCACTGTTCACATGATTTGTATCCTATGACCACACAGTCTTCTTCTTCCCTACCCCAGTGTCAGCCCTGGTGGTCTCTTCCTTTCCCTCGTTTAGTGTCCCCTCACTGGTATCCCATTGGCCGTGGTCCTCTTCCTCCACCCTCATTCCCTGGGTATAAAAGTCTCCCGCCATCAGACAACACCCTCTTTCCCATCTTGGGGGTTGCCTGAGTCTGAGGTGTGTCCTCCAAGTCAATAAGCAGAGGACATTCGTCCCCACGTGGAGAAGAGCACTTCCAATCTTTTGCTTTCATCCATATAAGCTCATGTGGGCTAAGGTCCGTAGCTAGCTGGATTGGACCCAAACAGCCTGTCCAGACATGGTTCTGACACTCCCCCTTGTCCAGCTGGGAAGGCGAGTGATAGAGCAGCTGGGTGGGCTGGACCTAGTGTTTACCTCTGGAACCCAACACTTGGTACTCACCCCCATCATGATGATGCACAAAGCCACCCCCAGCCGCAAACCAGTCAGTGCTCCAAATCCACCCCTCTTCCCCAGCAAACAGCTCCCAGCCCCATCCCACGCGCCCCACTGACCTGCTGTGGCTGCTCCTAAGGGGTTATCCTCGCTGCCCTCCTCACACACCCACTCCTCACAGCACTTGTTGTGGAACTTCACCCTGCGGGGCGCGGGGCACTCTGGGGACGGCAGGCGCAGGTCATCGGCGCAGAGCGGGACGCAGCCGATGGCCCCGTCCATGCAGATGCACTGCAGCTTGCACGTGGGCTGGAAGCTCTCCCCATTGAGGTAGATCTTGCCCAGCAGGTCACACGTCGCACCCTCACGAGCTGGGGCAGGAAGAGGAGGAGAAGGAGGAGTAAGCAGAAGGCTGAAACCCTGTCTTTGGGACACAGTGCTCTCCTGAGGAGGGACAGAGCCCATCCTCCCCTGCTTTGCCATCCCAGTGCTGGATATGTCGTATTTGCCTCCCTGGACCCAAGGCTATTCATGACACTGATTTTTCAGAAGTGCTGGTCCTCCCAAAATTCTCTAGAAAAATTTCTTTTCCACTTGGATGAACTACTAAGTATGATTTTGTCTTTGGTGCCTGTAAAGAGCCTGTTTCTCTGTCAGAGTTCTTCTCAACCAGCTCAGAGTGACAGGTCAGTGGTGCTGTGCAAGACATTCCTGACACGGCATGTGAGCATGGCTGTACTCCTCAGTACTCCTGGGATACCAGTAGGCAACGCTCTTCTAAGAACGGCTGGTTCCCCCATGCAAATGGTACCTACAAATGAAAATGACACTTTGGGCTGATGACCTTTTTGGCCTCTCTATGATGCACAAATCTCTTCCTCCTTCCAGCCCCAATTTTTTCCAGTTCTCTCCTTTCTGATCTCTGGATCTTTCATCTCCAGACCTCCTACCACTCTCTGCCTCTTTCCCAATAAAACTTAAATGGGCAAAAAAAGGGAAACAATATCTGACACAGAGCAGGAACCTTTACTCTGCAGGCACAACACTACTCCCAAGTTCTTATGACTGCATTAGCCAGAACTTTCCCACTGGAAGCTTTGCAGGAGAAATCTCTTAGCTGATTAAGATCAAGAATGTTTTCAAGAAGAACCAACTGAACCATTTGACATGAAAGATTTCCTTCATGATCAACCAAAATACTCATGGGATAGTATCCACAGAGGGAAGCATTAAGCATTTTGCTCTGGTAATTATTTTGATACTATGAAGATGAAATATTTTGATAGAATGGAAAGGGAAAGTTTTGGCACAGCCAAATAAGTATTCTAAATAAGTCATGGAAAATTTTGAGGTTTTAAAAAAACTAGTTATATATATTTTTTTAAAAAAACTTATATATATATAAAAGTATATATATATACTTATATATATATATACATATACTTATATATATATAAGTATATATACTTATATGTATATAAGTATATATATACTTATATGTATATATACACTTTATATATACTTTTTTAATATATATATATTTTTTTTAATTTTTTTTTTCTCAGCCTGAAATTAAATGTTGAAATCTCAGAGTTTTCACAAGTCAGAAATCTTGATTTTGGACAGTTTTCAGCAGCTGCTGTTTTCTGCAATCCTGAATCTTTAAAAAATCCATGCAAACCTCTATGGGAAAGTTACCAAAAGGAAGGATTTTTGACTGCTTGTGGAGACTTCCCAGGAAACCTGATCTGTTTTCCCCTAAGTCCTGCTCGCCCAGGGACACTGTTTCGGATACAAAGTGTTTGAATCAAACAAGGAGTAAGAATCTCTTTCCATCCCATCCCTATCCCTCGAGGGGACACAAATCCTTCTGGACTGTTCCTATCAAGACCTGCATGTCATCTTGCTACTCTTTACAATTTCATTGGGATAAAAATACTCCTGTGCTCCAACTTTGACATTTCAAAATCCTCACTTTTTCCATCAAAGTGGAAGCCATCCATCCACCCTCCCTCTATACAACCATTCATACTTATTTTTAAACACACTCTTCCATCTCAGTGAGCAGATCATGCCGTTCCCTCTCCTCCCTCCCCTCCCAAAGAACAGCAGCCTGCTCCAGGGGTTGATTTTGTTTTCCAAACTCAATCCCTCTGTTGTGCCCTTCATTGCCCTCCCTTTCCCTCTGACCTGGTCCCATTAAGGCTCTGAAGAGACAGCACCCATTAAGTGTTCCAGCTCTTTATTCCCCAGCTCTGCCTGGCACCACCCACACCCAAACACCAAGCCCAGCTAAGGAGACTCTTTGTCCTTTTCCTCAGGGGATGTGGCATCACTGAAAGAGCTGCTCTGTGAAGCTCTACCAGCTCCCTGCACCCCCTATCACCTGCAGGACCCCTACTTTAGAGTTACTACAGGACCCTGTCTACCGTTCTAGTACTCCGGGGTCTCTGCAGGAAGGAAAGGATTCCTCTTAAATATGTGGAATGTGATAAAATTACACAAATATAAAATAAGCTTCCCTCTGATGGTTCCCTTCCCATCTCTCCCAATACAGCCTACAGGTCTCAACTGAGACACTTTTCTCTTGACGCCTCAGCTCCTTTCTCCTTCTAGCACATCTGCTTATTTGGATAAATTTAAGTCAAAACATTGATCCTTCCTTTCCTCTGACTCACTCCTCCAGCTTCCTTCAGTGCCTCCAAAATCTTCCAACAGATCCATGTGGACATCATAAAAACATCACCCAAGGATATTATGGCCCAAATCCTCAGCCCATTTTAGAAATAAATCCTGGCCTGTGTTCACTGCAGTTTTTGCTGTGAAAAGCCTAATTTCTTATTTAAAACCAGGAAGGATAGTTGTGTCTGCAAGTCTGATTTCCTCCACAGCAGGATCTGGGACTCTCACTCCAAATGTTTGGATCAAAGCTGGATGTCTGGTGAATACAAAGCACCTTTATTAGAATGATTTCAAGGCTTCATGGAGAGATTTTGAAATGGTGTCTCCCACACTCCTGAGGAAATTGTTCCTGTGATTTTGCTACCTTTCCTCCACAAACAGACACCTCATTCCCATTTGGAATGAGGCAGCATGCAGCTCACACCTGCTGGATGTCATCACACCTGTGTTTGCCTTACTACGCTTCCATCCTCAGCTCTCAGGTGTTTCAATGTCTGCAGAAAGTACCAGGAGCTCCAAAATCCATGGCTTCCAAAAATTCCCCAAACTGGGGAATGAAAATGAAGCAACTTGTAAAAACTTCTTGGAGGACGAAACACCAACAAGTTAGACTCAGTTAGACAAGGGCTGGGGATAAATGGGGTATTGAGAAGAAATTCTTCCCTGTGAGGCTGTTGAGGTCCTGGCACAGGGTGCCCAGAGCAGCTGTGGCTGCCCCAGTCCTGGAAGTGTCCAAGGCCAGGTTGGATAAGGCTTGGAGCAAACTGAGACAGTGGAAGGTGTCCCCACCCATGGCAGGGGGTGGCTCAAGAAGAGCTTTAAGATCCTTTCCAAGCTAAACTGTTCCATGATATTATGATTCTGTCTCAGGTTGGTGCTGGATCATTTCCAGAGACATCCAGTGCTGTGGCCAAACATTTCCCTAAGTACTCACATAAACTGCCAACTCCTAGGTCTTCCTGACTATTTTGAAAAGCTTGAATTTAAGAAAAAAAAATGTTGGCTCCTGTCAGAGATGGGACAGGAGTCTTGTTTTTAAACAAAGACCAGGAGGTTGCAGAAATACTTTATTTTCCTCTAGACCAAAATAATTTCTGCTTGCTTCAGAAGGAACTACTGAAAAAAAAAATTGTATTTTCTTTTCTAGCTGAAAAGAGGTGTTGGAGAGAAAGCAGTTTCTGCATTTGCATTACCTGGCTCTGGAATTCTCATGTTCCACAGAGACACAATGTGGTGAAGGAGCTATTCAGCTCTTCCCACCCACATGCTATGGCCAGAAATACACTTTGCCTCTTGCACAGAAGCAGCCAAGTGCAGAACACCCATCCCTGGCACAAGGTAGAGGGATTTAGGGTAGGATATTCCAAGGAAAGTACTTTCAGTAAGAGCTCAGACTGCTGATATATGCCCAAAGGGTACAGGATGTCCCCTGAGGATGTCACAAGACACAGGAGTGGCCCACAGCCCCACTCATGCCTCGCTGGAGCTGTGAGACACCAGCTGTGTGTGTGCCAGGGGATCTGATGTTCCCAGGCTGGCACTGCATGAAGCGCCAGGGAAATTCTGATGGGTGTTCTGGGGAGGCACCACGGAAAAAACACACAAGGACAGAACCTGCAGCTCTCACCTAAGCAGATCCCACTGCCTCTGTGGATTTTTGAGAAGTCACAGTAGAGTCCCTTGTGATGGTCACAGGGCCTGTGCAAGGAGCAGAGCTCGCCCAGCTGCTGGGCACACACCTTGCAGCAGCCACAGGCATCCCACACGTGGCTGGTACCTGCAGGGCACGGCAGAGCTTGGGAGGGACACTGGCATGGGAACATGCAGGCCTGTGGTTCTACCTGGAAGGCAAAAAGCCATGGAGAGAATGAGTCTATTGCAAGGCAGCTGGACAGGGAGAGGAAAAATATGTCTCTGCTGAAAGCACAGATACCCCAGAAGCGAAGGGGACCAGCCAGAGGGGTGTATGCAGCTCCCAAGTACTCACAGGACTCAGGTTTTCCTCATCCCTATTTCATCTGGAGCTCAAGGGGAAAAAAAAAAAGTCTCTTGGAAGCAGATCCAAACCAAACAGGACAAGCAGTAGCTCAGAGTCCCCAGCACAGCTCACCCTCTCTGGAAGCAATAAAGTAGTAATCATTAACAGCAAGAAATTCCAGCTTTTACACAGGACAACCATCAAAGCCTCTGTACCAGCATCAGATCGAATGGAAGCTGAATAAGCAATGTGCACAGCAACAGGACTTGCCCAAAGCCAGGCAGTGGGACTGTGGGGATGCTGAAAACCAGCCCAGAAGCTTGAAAGTTTCATTTTGTCCCCTGCATCTCACACTTTCTTATGACATGTGCCCTCTCCATTTTCCAAGGAACACAGCATAACCAACCTTCCTTGGTGTTGGGAATTTAGCTGCTAGAGAATGGAAAATTACAAAGCTGTGGCTAATTCCAAGTCCTGCACCTGCAAGATAGTGTGTCCTTGGGCATAGCTGTAGTATGATAACAAATAGTGAAAGAGACATGAGAAAAGAGAGATGTAACCCCTGAGGAATGGGGAAGAGCTGATGTTGTGGTGTGGCCAATGGATGGTGTAAATTACAGAATATTCATGAGCTTATTGTTCGCTGTATAAGTGTCTGATGCTCTCTTCAATAAACGGAACTTGCTTATCACTCATATTGAGTGTCTGAGTCTCCCCTCACCAACAAATGGCTCATCCCCAACAAAGGCCTCTATTCTGCAACACCTTGGGACCTTGTGAGTGCACAGATGCTCCCCTTTGGCAGCACTTCACTGGGCAGCCCTTGAACCCACCCTTGGCTTCATGACACTTCAGATACCCAAACAGAGACCAGCTGAAGTAGGATTACCTGCTCTGGAAAACCCAGATGGGTCCAGCATCCCAGTCACTGAGTGTGTGCCATCCCTGTCCTGCATTAGCTCGGAGCAGGAACACCAGCTCAGCCCTGGCTGTGCCCAGATTTGGGCAAGATGTAACAACCTGACTGTGAACAGTGCAGAATGTGTGGTCTCTAGAGATCCTCTGAAACCTCCTCAGAAACATCAGTGCCAGCTGCTGCCTGGTTTACTGTTCAGATCCTACCCATCCAAATTCCCCCTTGCCCTGCTCCGTGCACCACTCCACTATTATGGACATAGCTCAGCTCCCACAACCCTGGCACATGGACGATGCCACCAAAACACTCTGGGATCCTGCACTGCTATGAACAGGGTGGAGAGGGAAGCATACAATGAGGCAGATCCCTCACACCTCTGCTGTCACCCCAGGAGAGCAGCAGCTGAGCTGGTAATAGCCTTGAGGGCAGCAGGGAGGAGCACACACACCTGGAACAAGTCAAAAAATATATCTTGTTATGGCTCTGTTTGCACTTTTCAGATCCCATCCAGCCCTCACTTGTTAAATAGCTTCCTTGAATATTGTGTCTGCCACCAATCAGAGTAGGAAAAATTTTCCAGCTATTTTTACTGTTGCTCTGACTTTAGGTCATGTGGGGTCAGAATGTGCAACCTTCTTTGTACAGCTGTGTCACCAACACAGCACTGTGGGACTGGGATTGGGCTAAATATTCCCTCAAAGTCATGGAATATCTCAAGTTGGGAGGGACCCACAAGGATCATGGAGTCCAGCCCTGTCCCTGCACAGACACCCCAGCAATCCCACCCTGTGCCTGAGAGTGTTGTCCAAAGGCTCCTGGAGCTCCGGCAGCCTCGGGGCCGTGCCCATTCCCTGGGGAGCCTGGGCAGTGCCAGCACCCTCGGGGGGCAGAACCTTTCCTGATATCCATCTAAAGCACTCCTGAAAGAGCTCTAGCCATTCCCTCTGGTGGTCCCAAGGGGTGAGTGTTTCCAGAGCCTCCCTGCTCAGCAGGAATCAGCATAATTCTCCTGGATAACTCCTAGCACTAAGTACTTTGGAAACAAGCCTCTCCAGCCTGCAGCCCAGCTGTTCCCAGCTGACTGCACAGGAGCCACTCACCAGAACCTGGCATGTCCCAGGAATCAATTCCCAACTGCTGAAGTGCATCAAAAGAACTAAAAATACAGAAATCTTCCCTACTTTTTTCCAGCTCCAGCTGCTGGAGATGCCAAGCAGCATGTTATTTAGTCCCAGATGAGTTGGAGTGGGTGTGTGAGACCGCACAAGAGACAAAGCATTCCTAATGTGGGATCTATATTAAGACGTAATCCACACACTTAAGAAAAAATAATGATAACAAGCATTTTCCAATGCAGTGTCAGCCACAGGCCATAGAAACACTCCCAAAATAGTTCTCCTGCTGAAATGCAAACCAAATAAAGCTCTTTGGGGATAAGAGAATGCAACAGCTTTAAACCCAACTGAGTTGTCTCACCCCTGGAAATGTCCAAGACCAGGTTGGACAGGGCTTGGAGCCACCTGGTCTAGTGGAAGGTGTCCCTGCCCATGACAAGGGGATAGAACTGGATGATCTTCAAGATCCCTTCCAATGCAAACCAGTCCATGATTCTACAATTCTGTGGTTTTTTCCCCACCCTCATTAATCATTGCTGGCACTAGTTATTTCCTTAATAACTCACCCATATAAACCAGCCCACCTGGTTTTACCTTCTGTTCACAGCAGCCTCACTTCCTCATTGTATCATAGCTGCTTTTCAGCAGGAGAACATCTGGATTCAGATCTCTGTTGCATCAGAGACCAGCTGGTGACCCTGCACCCACCTATGCTGTACCCCAGCTCCCCCAGCATCAGCTCAAAAGCTCAATTCATCATGGTTTTCAGGACCCTTCTAAATACTCCCAGATGCTCCCACCAGTTGGCTCGGATGTGTCTCCCTCCATTGCCCAGGAGGTGTTGGGGCTCCTGTTTGCTGGTTTTATTGCTGAGCAAAGTCAGCCCAAGCTATTTATAATTCCTGCTGCTCGCCAAGGCCTGGAAGAGGAGGGAATGAGCTGGAATGGGGTTTAACTCACACATACCCAACAGCCAGAGCACTGAAACACTGCCTGGCCAGGGAGACTCTCAAGTGGGAAAAAGTCAATGTTCAAGCAACTTCCTTGAGCCCTCCATTACTGAATTTTCTTTCAGAGAGGGTGAATAGCGGATTATATTGGTTTTGCATGGAGCACCCTTCATCCTGCATTCTTTCCAAGGGCTGCTTCTCGTTCTTCTGCCCAAAGTTCTACCCTAGAACTGCCCCAAAGAGCTCCATAAACCGTTCCCAAGAACTGCCAGGATTGGAATTCAGGGTTTTGTTGCAGACCCAAAGGTAACACAAAGCCCAATATTTCCACATAACCTGCCACTGACCTGCGTCCAGAGGGATTCAACTCAGAGAATATTTCATTTTCTTCCATCTATGTCACTGTCAAGTAAGAAATGACACAGACTCACCAGAAGGCTGGTTTTCACAGCACCTCACTTCACTTTGAATTCTCTCTTTTTATACACTGTTCCAGTACAGATAGACCAGATTGGTCAATAATCAACACATTTCACCTGATAGGTGTTTTGTTATAAACAATCATTGAGAAAAACATGAAAACAGAGAGTGTGTATCTTCAGCTCCCTAAAGTCTCACAAGCCAGTTCTGGGAAAACTTATCTAGTTTTCTTACTCTCTGACCAGGCTGGTACATCCATGCCTCTGCAGAAAGGGTTGCCCCAGAACTCACTTCTGCCTTCACTGGGCATACTCTTGACTTCAATTCACGACAACCTTGACCTGGCTTCTCTTGAGGTTTGCAGGGCATTTCTGTGAACTCTGAGAGCAGCAGAACAGAACCAGAGATCAAGGCCATGGATTTAAGAGGTTTTAAAGCCTGGAATGTTGGCTCTTCTGGCTTTTCTGACAGCTCTTGCATCCATCACAAACACTGTGTGTGAAGCTATGGGACCTCCAGGACCCCTGAGTGATGGCCAAGCCACAGCAGAAGTGCCAACACTCAGAGCAGAGGATTCCCCTGCTCTGCTCCATTGTGTTCTCCACCTCTGACTCCCTGAAGCTGTCTGCTCAGCTGACAAGCCAGAACAAGCTCCCTCCCAACTACCAAAATCAAACCCAGTTACCTGCAGGTAAGAAAAACTGAGAACGTTCTTTCTGCTTCATATTGACATAAAACCTCTTCCCCTGCACCTTTTGGAAGGCATGAGTGCTGCAACGTGAGCTCCCACCACTGCAGCAGGTTCGTGTCACCATCTGGATTTCTCATTCCTGACCAATGTCTACAGGAGCCCAGGAAACCAGCTAGGGGAGCCAAACCAAAGAGGATGTTTTAAAATATGTTTGGGCTCATTTTAATCCCACTGCGCTCAGAGGGCAGGAAAAGGTGAATTTTGAGCTGAGCTGGGTGTTTGCAAAGAGCTTTGGGAGCCAGGGGTTAATGCTGCAAGGCAGAGGTGATGTAATAAACACTCAGCTGGTTCTTTTAGTGCTCCAAGACTAAGCAGCCAAAACACAGCTATTCATCCTCCAAACTCCAAATGACTGTGGATAACCTTTGCTCTCTCTCCATCTCAGGCTCTAAAGATGCCTTCCTACAGCTGCTGCAGCACGTGTAACAGCTCCTTTGGAGAGACAAGAACCAGGGACCCCCTTCACAGACAGGGCACAGGGATACAGACACCTGCCCAGGATGAGCCTCAACACAACTCACAGTAATCCTGGAGCTACTCCCACCTCTGAACAACACAGAAGAGAGATTCAGGAGTAACAGCTCTCATTTTTTGCCTTAATCCACAAAGCATCACAGAATCATTAAGGGTGGAAAAGACATCAAAGGTCACTGAATCCAACCTAATGCTTAAAGAAAGTCAAAACTCACATTTCTGAGCATTTGACATTGAGGTTTAGGGAAAATCACCTGTCTCAGAGTGGTAACCAAGAGTCACAGTGGTGGGATTACTTGTTATGGTTTATATGAGCTACATGGTGCTGCCACATCTGAGCCAGAGTAAGAATCAGGATGCCCACCCTAAATGGCAGCTGTTTCCCTTAGACTGCAGCCCAGTTCGCATTCTTGGCAGGAAAAGGGCTGGCACACACTAAGTACTGCTAGGAGCAATCCAACAGAGCTCCCCAACCAGGAACTGAGCACCTCTCTCACCTCAAAGAGCCCTGCAAGGGGCTCTGTGAACCCAGTTTCACTGAGACAAAAAGCACTTACAGCAATTTATTGATGGCAGTGACGTTCCTGATGCTGCTGACATGAGAACAGCACTCAAATGTCCACAGAGGAATCAGCTGCTCTCTCAAGAACTTGTATTAACAGGAAAACAGGCAGAAATCCTGCTCCAGAGATGATGCAGTCTAATTTTCCCCTTGGGATCACTGCTTTTGGGAGAACATGGGTGGATTCAGTGACAGCTGGGGAAGAGTGGTGATGGGAGGGAATTGGGATATGAAACTGTTACTCTTTGCAATTACAAACTCACTGCCTTCCCCTCTCTCTGCTCTCTTCTCCCACTTCTAGACCAAGGCCGATTTCTGGCTTCCAGGAGTAGGAGGAAACAAAACCCCTTCCCATGTGCCAGGAGCTCTGAGAGCCGCGGATGCCACGGGGCAGCCCCCAGTGTGGTTCAGGTACCCAGCACGTTTGCATCGCTCTGCTCCCAGCCCGGCTCCCCCCTCGGGAACCCGGGGGCAGCTGCCAGCCGGGAAGGGTCTCTCAGCCCAAAGCCCTCGCATGCATGGAAGCAAGAAGCTGCATTGCCCAGCAGAGCTGCTGCAGGGCCGTACGTACCCAGGCAGGGGCGAGGAGGAGCAGGAGCAGGACCCGCGGCACTGTCCCCAAGCTGCCCGGCATCCCGAGCGCTGCGAAGGGCAGGGATCCAGACTGCCGGCCACCCCCGCCCTCTCCTGCGGAGTTTCCAGTCTCTCTGGAGCAAGTTACGCATCAGCTTCTCTTTACATATCCTCTGGAAGGGGCGGACCCCGCGCTGAGTGGCAGGCTGGAACGGAGCCCAAAAGGGTGCAACAAAAAATGCCCAAATTCAGGGAACGCGAGTGTGTTCCTGCGGCTCCGGCCGTTCGGGGCTGCCACCGCTGCCTGCAGCTTGGTTACTTTCCAAGTGGGGAAATCAAACCCCAGTAAAAGCAGCATTATTATTTTTAAATTTTTCCTCTTTCTACCTCCGATTATGAAGCTTGGCACAGCTTTCCTGACACAGACCCCCTCTTTCCTTTTTGGCTGCAAGGGCTGAGGAGTGATGAAACAGAGATTTGTGGTGCTCAGAGTCTGAGCAGGAGGGAGGGATGGGTAGTTTGGTGCTGTCAGGTCACATCTGGCTGTGCATCACCTGTCAGCTCTGGGGAATGAAAGTTTCGTGATTAGAACTCCTGCATGAGAGCTGCCTATTTTATAAGGCAATGAAAAGCTCCTGGATGAAAGTTTTTCATAAAGGGCAGAGGTTCTCCAAAGTGCTTTGGGATGGATGCAGGATCACACACATCTTTATTTGGGGTCATGATCCTTTCTGTTTGCTGCTGAAATACAGCACCAGGCTTGTACACAGCCAGCACGGCAGACCTTTAGAACATGAAAGCTGTTTTTTGTAGTAAGGAGTAGTTTTGTTTATGCCTGAAGAGCAATCAGAGCACTGCCACGGAAGGAGGAGTGCAGCAGAGGGCACTCTTAGTCCTTGCTGGCCAGGGTGGGACAGAGCAGTCAGATTTTGGACAGGAGCCTCTGTACATATGGAGTGACTTGAGAAAGATGGAGCCTTTCCTTAGGGTCAGGAAGCTTTCCTGGGGAGACGTGCTACAAGGGATGGTACCTTCTTTGGGCCAATACAAAGCTGGGCCGGGAGCCCAGGCGCTGTGCAATGCAACCCCAGCATATCCCTGTCTCAGCTGAGTGCTGGGAAACGAGAGAGAAGATGGAAATAAACACAGGGAATATGTAGTGGGTTATTTAAATTCAGCCTCTTTCCTTCCTGCCTCCAAGGTAGGGCAGTTTACCTGGGAATCAAGCCCTGCAATTCATCCAGGTCCGTTCAGGTTCCTGTGCAATACCAGATCAGCATCCACGCTCCCTGTGTGTCCACCACTATAAACAGAAAACTCTGATTCTTAATTTATTAGCATTTGGAAATCCCCTTGGGTCTGGGGCTGGAAAGCATTAGCAAAGTGCAAACCACCCCAGATGCAGCTTCTCCTCTTCCATGAGATGGGGGATTTCACAATCATGTCCATGACAGCCACCTCTGCTTGTGGCACACCAGATGATTATGTCTGCACACAAAAGATTTCAGGTTCTGGAGACGCCATAAACATCCACTGCCTTCAGGAACTTAGGAGCTCCAGGCAGTCTGGCTGGAGATACATTCCTTCTCCTTTTGGAGGGCCTGAACTATGTTGTCACCTAAAATTAGCTGCTCACATTTCCCAGGACATTCTCCTGATGCTTGTAAACAAGACAGGGATAAAGTGCTGCACACTTCTGGTCTCATTTTCTCACACGGCAAGAATATAAACCCCAGCTGAATTCTGACCCCTCCAGGGCCCCTGAAGATGGGAAGATGGCATATTTGTGGCTTTTTAAAAGGACAGTGTGTTATGTGTTACTCAATCCATTCCTCCTTCTGCTAGAATAAGACATCTCCCTTTGTGCATCGACAGGACAAGGAGGAATGGCTTTAAGCTGTAAGAGGCCAGGTTTAGATTAGGTATTAGGAAGAAATCCTTCACTGTGAGGCTGGTGAGGCCCTGGCACAGGTTGCCCAGAGAAGCTGTGGTTGCTCTATCCCTGGAAGTGTTCAAGACCAGGTTGGACGGGGCTTGGAGCACACTGGGACAGTGGAAGGTGTCCCTGCCCATGGCACGGGGTGGGACTGGATGAGCTTAAAGTTCCCTTCGAACCCAAACCATTCCATCATTCTCTGATTGTATAAGAAGCAGCAGCTGCACCTCAAACTGCAATCTTCCAAATTCTGCTTTAACATAAACTTGCTGTGTGACCTCAGATAACTGTTCAGCCAAAATCCCAACATCACTCACTTATCAGGAGTTCTATGGGGAATATTCAGCAGTAAGCCAGCATTATGATGGCTGATTAAGTTTTCAACCTACAACAAAAGTAAAGAATAATTCGATGATAAATCATCCTTTCCAAGCTTCTCATCATCATCATCCACCTGAATGCTTCCACCTTCCCAGGGCAGTAAAACGTACCAAGTTCAGTCCTGTTCATCCTTCAAGCTGCCTCTTGGATTATAGGAGCAGGATGTGAAGAAGTATCAGCTGGAGATCCCTTGATTTTGGGAGCTCACTCCACCCCTTGTGCAAGATTTTCGTAGGCACTGGGAGAAACAAAACTACCCCTCATGCTAGAACTGAGCTGCTAACCCCACTGGACATGCCAAGAGGTAAAAGAAGAACATGATGGTTGAGTGGCTCAGAATGATCAAAGGCAGGAAGCACCCAAATTAACACCAATTTTTATTTCTTCCTTTTGCCTGAGCTGCCTCAAATGAAGCAATAAAGATGTCAACCCTGCTTAAAATCTCCCCCAAGCAAAGAATAGTGGGTGTTTAACACACCTTGTTACACTCTTCTGGGTTCAGCCACCATGCCCACCAGCAGCTTCTCTGGATTTATAGTTATTTGAAAAACAGATATTTAAATAATTGTTAAAAATCTTGTCGAGCCAAAGAATAAAATGAAATGAAGGCAAGCATACACACAGTCTTTTGTCTCAGCAGGATCTCTCCCCATGTCCCTCTGCCTGCAGAAGCCAAAATAAAAGCTGCTGCAAGCAGCATGGTACAGAGAATTGTGTTCACCCAGTTCTCAGTGACTTCAGAACTGTCTCCTGTCCCAGAGCTGCTTGGTCACCCCCAGAACACAGTGGTGGCCTCTGGAGCCTTGCAGCAGGTTTGTGTTCTCACAGCAAAAGTTACCTCTGGGGTGGATGACAGGTCCTCATTCCCATTTGGGACTCCTTCGACTTGATGATATAAAACTCTTTTAAGCTGACGACACCAAACACAAACCAGGCCCAGCAGAGATGGTGAGATCCATCCTACTCAATGGTCGGAAACATGGTTCCATTTCCTTGGTCATTACCCAACTAGTGCTGCCCGCTTGATCCATCCTGCTCCCACACTCAGCTGGTCACAAGTGCCAGATCCAGGGCCATGGAGGAGTCCCTTCCCTGCTTTTTGTGCCAGTCTGAGGATACAGTGCAATTTTTAAGTTGGGCTAGGCCTTTTCACTTCTCTCCTGCTGGTATAGGGCTACGGGACTCTGCCACTGGTGTTTTCTCCATCTGTGGTTTATTACTTGTAACAGAACAAAACCCACCAATGTCTCTCAAGGGTCTGTGTTTGCTGCAAGGCTGGGAAGGAGTTCTGCTGGTCTGTGTGTCTTGGGGCAAGACAGATAAACAGCCCTGGATATTTTTGGGGCTCAACATGGTTCCCAGAGAACTGACAGCTGAGAAGGGCTCTTCCAGAGCTGAGTTTAAGTTAGTACTAATTCAGTGTGTCTAGAAGGATATTTAGGGTCAGATCCATGCTGTGTAATTGAGAAGAATTAATTAAGGCATCTCCATTTGTAGTCTAATCTCTCTAGGCTCCCTTTAATACATGAAGAAGAGCTGGAGCTCCTGAACAGCCTTCTGAGATTGCTGTCTCTGTTGTCCAAGTGCATCAGCTGTGGCTTTAAATTGTCAAAAGAAAGTGTCACGGAAATGCAGCACCAGAGCTCAGCAAAGGCTCAGTGCCTCACCTTGTCTAACTCCAACCTGGGTGCAATGGTTTCCCTTCCCTGTGGAGGGAAAGGGCAGGAAAACAACCCCCTGCTCACTCCAGCACAGCCCTGCCATGATGAAATGCTGACTGCAGGGAAACACCTGCTGGCTCCAGCAGAGCTGGGATTCCCTCTCCTAACTTGCCAGATACACAGCCCCCAGACCACACTGCTGTGCCCATAGCAAAAGGGATGTCAGGCAGGGGACAAATTTTGCCTGTGGTTGCAGAGTTGACTTGTGAAATCCACAATTATATTAGTTCTGGGAGGAACTATTGTATTTGAGGATTTATTGTGATATTGAAGTTTATCAAGGGATGTGACACTTGGGATGGTGAGGTGGCTGCTGATGTCCTTGTAGATATTATATATATATATAAACAATCTTAACATTGTAAGTTCAGAAAGAGATGGTGCTCTGACAGATGTGGCCAGCAAAAGCACATGTTCACTTCTAGAAAAAAATAAATGCCACTCTGAAGCCTGATCTTGGCAGGATGCAAACCTCTGCAGTGCCAGAGTTACAGCCCAGAGCACCCAGAGGAAAGACACCAAACCCTATTGATCAAAACATGGGATCCTTGTTTCAGAACAGATGAACAGTGAGAAACTCAGCACTTCCAAGGACATCCAAGCAACAAGACTGCAGTATGACAGCAAGTGATCCCCTGAGACCCTTAACAACTGCAAAATTTGGATGTTTAGATACAAGTGTGAGTCACCATCACGGCTAGGAGCATTTCTACCAGGAGCATTTGTGCCTTGAAGTTCTGTGCGAGGCACGGGCTTGCACAGAACTGCAGGAGAACAAGCCCTTGGAGGAAACAGCTGCACCCACCTGTGAAACAGATGCTTCCTCAGGTTTTTCCACTTCTTAACTTACTGAATGCTTAATTATCCCGAAGGAAAACTGCAGGGAGGGAGGGCATGTTTAAGGTGGACTTGGACAGGATGATTTAAGGAGTCTGTCAGTGCCACAGGACTCCTCTGGAGCACAGCTCTGTAACCACTCTGTGTCCCGGGGGGTTTGGTCCTCAACACCTGCTCAGGCGAGGCACAGCAGGATGTGCTGGAGGTGACATTGCTTGGGAGAAAGAAGGGACAAAGGGACCTCTCCCCAGGTATGGGCTATGAAATAACATTATTGGTTCTGCC